GGGGGCTGAGACCTGTCTGTGCCCCCCCAGAAGCACCGGAGTTGGTTGGAGGTCGCGGCTCTTCCCTCCGCTGGGAAACAAATGTCCAAACTTAGAGAAAAAGATTACAGACAAACGTCAAGGGGTGGAGGGGGAACGCTCAGTCAAAGTAGATGAATTATTCAGCTCCCGAGCTGCGAGTGAACATTATCAGCTAATGATCTGTAATTATTAATAAATAATTTAAGCTTTAATAGCTAGGAAATGAAATGCTTAATTGCATCATAACATAATTAATGGAATTAGCTACTATGAATAAAATGAGGAGTTGTGGGCTTTTTTAAGTAAAAATCTTATTTCTCCACAGCGCTGCTGGTTATTTTTGTTCAACTTAAACACTAGCGAAGATGGAGGAGGAGAGCCTGGAGGGAGCTGCAGGACCCCAGGACAGGGACCAACTCTTTGCAAGAACGTGGAAAATCAGGACGTGGACTCCACAAAACTTTGCAAGACCATCGAACTGAAAACGTTAAGTCTAACAGAAAGAAAAAAAAAAAATAAAATTAAAAAATCTATTTCTGGGCTAAAAATGCAAGTCCAGCCAAGCCTCGAAAATAAAATTAAAAAATCTATTTCTGGGCTAAAAATACAAGTCCAGCCAAGCCTCCATCCATCGTGCAGGGCAGGAAGAGCAGTGCACCCATGGATTCTGCAGGCAGGAGCTGAGCTGAAGCGGCACAGGGCGGCCCCCGGTGTCACCCCCGGCAGTGAGACTGTCCCCGCAGCCACCACCGTTGTCCCCACAGCCACCACAGTCATCCCCCGCAGCCACCGCGGCTGTCACCGCAGCCACCGCTGGGATGTTAACAAGTGTTAATAAAAGCAAAGCCACCATGCGCGACCCATTCAAAGGGCTTTTTATTAGGCATTCATATATTTTCATTAGTTATGGTGATGAAGCACTTAGGTTTTATGGGGTGTTTTAGTGTTTCATTTCACTGTGTTTCCTGATTACCCTGCTAACATTCCAGGGTGACATGGACCATTTTCCCCTCCCGCTAAAACGGAGTCTTTTCAGCAATAGGATGGCCATAAACGGAGTCAGCTCACATCTGCTGGTGGAGGGATGCAGCCCATTAAAGCCTGGGAATTCAATTCCAAAACCTGTTCATAATTAATATACCTTATAACGTGCGAAAAAAAACCCCAAATGTTGCTACAAGATAATTGTTTAAGTGATGTAGGGATGAGTTAAACGCCTTGCTGGGCATTTAACATCCTGCTGTACGTCTGGCTTGCACCAGCCCTGCTGCCATCACCCAAAAAAGCAAAATACAGATGATTTCCAAGCCCAGATCTCAGCAGATGCAGCCTGATAGGTTTAGCCCCCGCCCCGGGAGCTGAAAATACTTATGCGATTGCTGATTTACACTGCTATGCACAGAGATGTCCCCGAAGGTCACAGTTTGAAAATACGGACCTCGGTCACCAGCCCCTCTTCCAAAACTGACACCAAATTATTTCTGTGGCTTTCAGCTGCTCAAAAAAAAAAAAGGAAGAAGAAAAAAAAAAAAAAAGAAAGAGAGAGGGGGGAAAAAAAAAAAGGCAGAAAATCTCGCAAGCAGCCGAACTGGGGAAAAATTGCAAGCTCTCGAAGAGTGACAGTTTGCAGAGCGTTGCCAAGCTTAATCGTCACCATTAAGCAATTATTGCACATGAAAACAGAAAGTGTCGGCAAACTCAGCCTGCTCTTGAATGAAATGGAAAGGGTTAGACAGCATTAGATATTTGCTTCTTTCTAGCTGAGGGATCAAACCACGTTCCCATCATAAAAGGCTGCCAGGCTCATAAATAATAAAGTGACTGACAACTGCAGCATTAACTCCACCTCGGGTTTCCACACCGGCTCCCCGGCCCTTCCCACCCCCTGCTTCCCCCACCCCATCCGTGACTCTGACTTTATTAAGGCATTTATTTATTCACCCCTCTGCCCGGCGGGTGAAGGGGGACCCCGGACCCCAGTGCACCCCCCGGCGTGATGTCCTCATCCTTCCCGGGGGTGGGGGGAAGGAAGGGAAAACACTCTGTGAATTATGAGTAAATCGGTTTGACTCAGTCCAGAGTCCTTTTAGGGTTTGTTGGTTTTTTTTTTTTTCTTTCCCTTTTCTTTCATGGTAAATTTTCGGTGACAAGGCAGCCAATGGTGACGGAGCACGGGGATTGAAAACGGTTTCAAAGGAGCCTTATCATGCTGGGGACATATGCACATTGAGCCTTGGAGATAGGATGAGTGTAGGGCCCTTCTGCGGGAGGCAGACAAATATATACAGTTTGTATTTGCTTTTTCCTTTTTCCTTTGGGTTGCATTTTCTTTTTCTATGCTTTTTTTTGGGGGGGGGTGGGATGCCTGCCCAACCTGTCAGCCATACTGGTTTGGGCTCAGTGACTGCAGACGTTCAATACATCTCTTACTTAAAGGGCCAATGTCACTGTAAAAATACACCAGCAAAATGCAGTGTGCTTTTTCAAGATAAAACTGAAAAGTCTTCACCTGCATTCCTCAAAATATCAGGAAAACTGAAAAAAAGTGGTGAAGTGTTTTAACACTCGGCTTTTCTTTTTGGCGTGTGTGCTTTGTGGACAGCAATGTCACAGGTCTTGGGTTCAAGGAGACAGAGAAATAGATGGATGGATGATTGATGGATGGATGGATGGATGGAGAGATGGACGGATGGATGGAGAGATGGATGGATGGATGGATGGATATGATCTCAGCTCGAGGGGAGATGGGTAAAGAGGAGGTAAGATACTTTCGTGATTTCATCAGGAATCCTGTGATAGCTCCTGCCTTTTTAAAGCTCTCTGAGACATCTCCGCAGCGTTACGAGGATCTCCTCTCTCATTTAAACAAGCAGTTGACAGACCCTGTGCTGAAAGGTGCGCAGACGCGAGCCCGGCAAGCCCAGGGACCTGCCGGGGGCACGGTGGCCGGGAGGAGACCCCCACCTCTGGGCTCTCTTTAGCCCAAGTGGGGTTTGTCAATGTCACACCTGTCATGTAATAAATACACCGAAACCCCCTAAATACAGCATTAACAATACGCATAA